GATAGAGAATGTCTAAGCCTGCCAAAAGTTGGCCAAGGCTTATCAATATGATGTGCCTTAAGTATGCGAATGCCAATGCGAATGCGTATGTCGGGTGGCTTATTTAGGGGCTTAAGCGTGGGCACTGGTAAAAGGCCAACTAAGCCAAACGATTGAAAGACTTTGATAACAAAATGGACAACTCTGTTGACCAAGTTAAGAGCGCGTGGGATTTGCCAAAGGCCTTCCGAAAACACAATATGGAACAAAAACTACACACTATGGAAAAGAAGTCTACGATGATGGATGGACAAGACTTTTCGATATCGATAAGGCAAACAGTGACAAATGAGAGTAGATAGATCCAATTAAATAAGCAAAATAAAATATCGCGCTAAATCTGCGTTTAAATTAAGATTAATTAAACCAAGTACATGATAAAGGTATAAGATAAAAATGTTAAGGATAATCTATTTATAACTTCTTTTCAGTCTAAGTTCTGTACTCAGGGTGAAAAAAAGAAAGATTTCGATTTCGAGGGATTAAAGAAATTGATGGCATTGATGAGTTATGATAATGAGTTAAATGATGACGAATAGAAATAGATGGCATGAAAATTGTGCTATAAAGTTCAATGTTGAAATTAGATAGATAGCTTGGATAGTCCCAATTCGTGAATTAGATGGCTGGGTTATGAATAAACACGAGATTTGCATTGTGAAATCTTAACTTTGAGTAAGTAAGCAGGTTATGATAATAATAATAACAAGAACAGCAATACTAGTAATAATAATGTAACAATACGTCAACAATTTATATGGCCACAAATTTCAAAAACCAAACGGTGCTTGCTAAACTCTAATTTCAGAAGTATCTCTCGTCATTGGTTTCACTCCTTATATACCATGATAACAGAGTAGTTGGAAAACAAGTGTTTCATCAATATTTAAAAAATATAAACATTGATAGCTATTAAATTCCTAATATATTTTTAAAACCATCTTATTATTTATTTAATAATTAAAGAAATCAATGTGCTTCAATTTTTTAATTTTCATATCAGCTCATCCAACATTATAACAGGAAACGTGAGAGTTAACTCTTAGTAAATTACAATGTATATTAAATAATAGTTATTTCCACTATATATAAAAAAGCTCTCTATTTTAAATAAAATATATTTCAAATAATAACTTTTGAATAACAAGTCTACTCGTTCCTTAATACTCTTGCCCCGATTATTGCCTTCGATAACGTCAAACCTTTAGTTATTTAGATATCAAATACCAGGTATACTCTCTTAGATCTACCCGTTCGTAACAAATATGAAATATAAATAGATATAAGCTTGTAAGTAAAAAGTAAATACTGCATTTCATATACAAAGTCTTTCTTATAGAATGTTTTAGCATGAGTCTTATTGTTTCCTAATGTAATATTAAATATACTTATATAATTAACTAACAAAATGCACTTTATGCTTTTACCAACTGTCCCGATAATAGCATTTGACAGCGTGAATCTATTTATCTCGATATAAATCAAATTGCATAAACATGCTTTCATAGATTTTCATTTCCTTTTCATAATCAATGGGATGCCGTGCCGAAACCCCTCGTCGCTTTATCATAGCTCAGTTTAATTTCCCAACTGCCTTGACATACTTATTTATAAATTAAATAGGTCCCATTCCCCCACAAGAGTTAAAATAGACATTGAGGACGACGCGCCCGCGCCCGCTCTCGCTCCCGCCCGCCGTGCCACAGTCAAAGAATGCAGGAGCTGACCCTAGTCAAGAAAACCCGATTGCAGCCCTTGATCCGTGTTTCCTTGTTTCCGGCAGGACGAACAACAAAATGCATCCATATGTGAGAGCCAAATCAAACTCAATTTCAAAAATTGCCAAAAATGCGAACTAATTAAAGTGCAGAGCAACCCCCCGAGCACTCCGCCATTGTTCCCTTATTCCCCTCAACCCTCACCCACACCTCTCACCCCTTACCATTCACACAGCAAATGAAAAGTAATTTTTCGCAAAGGGAGGAAATGAGCAGGAGAAATGCTCGCAGAGCTTATTGATTCCGGTTTCGATTAGAGGCGGAAAGCAGCACAGAGGAGCAAGGAGCGGAGCAAGGATTACTGCTTAGGCTCGGAACGAAGCAATTTCAATAAGGAAATTCTTAGTTTTGACAGCCGCCCAACTAATGAGACAGCTAAAAGAAAGGGCATGCAAAATTTTAATTTAAAAAATAAAAACGAAGAAAACAAACAAAGGGCGCTAACAAAACGCTCTTAAAAACTTTGCCAGCTGATAAAAAATAGTTGAAGGCGACAGTTTAGTTTGCTAGAGTTTTTTCCCAGCTGGGTGAAGGGGCAGCGCTCGAGCTTGGCGGGGTGGGTGGGGGCAATTAACTAGCCGCACATTAAATGATAACAAAAAGGGGCGGTGTATGGGGCGTGTAGGTGCTGTTGCTGTACGTGCAATAAAGTTTGGACAAAAGAAGACAACAACAAAAACAAAAACGTAGTACCGAAGGGCATCGCAATTTGGGTCAAGCCAAAAGGATAATGCGGTTCGCGTCTAGCAGAAGATAAACAACAAGAGAGAGAGAACAACGAATGCGTAATACCCTGCAATAGCAAACTAGCTGCAGTCACTATCAGACATTAACTCAGTGACTCTCAAACTATATTATGCAGCAAACTATATTATGCAACATGATCTAAAGAGACCTGTAATGGAAGAGTGGCTGTAAAACTTTAAAAGTCAGTGCCCCTCAAACAGTGACTCCTCTCAAATTGCAGTTACGCTCAAACATAATTTAAACGATCTCAAATAGTTTAAAATGCTTGTAAAGTTCGAATTTACTTCAATCAGCTGCAGGTAAATCTTAATGCTAATCTTATCTTTAATTTGTTTTTCTTACCGGCATAGATTAACTCCACTTCCAAGTATGTTTAATGTTATGAAATTTCAGCATTAACGCCTTTTAATGGGCATGGTCAATGTATATCTTATCAGTTTCCAATTGGAGCACTTTGCAAAACAGGAAAACAATATACCGTTATTTCACTTTTGGAACTGTGCATAAAACACACGCACACACACACACAAACACGCGTATACATATATACATATATATATATATAGAGCAAGTACCGATAAGTCACAAAACTTTGCTTGTTGCTGCTGCTTCTGCTGCAGTTTTTGGTTATTGTGGTTAACGGTCTGTGGGCGAGTGGGGTGGGGGGATTAACAGTGCAACATAGGACAGAGTCCAATTAGAATGCGCTGTTGCTTCAACTTTCCGACTGACGCGCGCTGTTGAATTGTTGTTGGTGTTGTTGTTGTTATTATTATTATTGTTTTTGTTGTTGTTACCAAAACATATAAACTGGCTAGTGTTCAGGCCCGCCTACGCAGTCGCTGGACCCGTTCGGCGACAACAGCAACAACAGCCGCAGCCGCGGCAGCAGCAACGCCAACAACAACAACAGTTAGGCAACACATGTTAGGCTGCGCTGCTGACGCTGACGCCGGCGTTGACTGAGCATAGCAATATAATTGTTTAAATTCACAATTAGAGTCGAAAATTACGAGCGAATCGATTTTTTTTTCAGAAACAGAAACACATGCACACACAAGCACACTCACTATCCCAAACACATACACGCGCGTGTGTGTGTGCGTAAAAACAAGTGAAAAACGCCGACTTCGACGGTTGAGGCAGTGATCTATATAACGCTGTTTAGACAAACGCTGCACGTTTGTTTTAACGTTTGTCACTTACAGTTATTGGATACTAACTTGCCCACTGGAATTTGCGTTAAATATTTCGCACTTTTCACACAATTGCGCTTTGCGTACAGCGCGACGCGTTTTGTTTTTTCTTTCGTTTTTACGCTTATGTTGATTTAACAGTAACTCAACTCGAAATGGCACTGTTAAAGCACTCAAATGGTCACGTTAACTTCGAAGACCAGGGCTGCAGCATTAAGCAGCTGCTACCAAAAAAATTGTTTAAATAAATCTAGTCGTTCTATTATTTACTTTTTTATTTGTTTATATGCAGTTGATAAAATTTCATTAAATTCGTTTGCTCCAACAGCTACTTTCTTTCTTAGTCGACAGTGCGGCTTTTCGTTTGACTATGCATTAGATTTGATTTTGATTTCATGTATGTAAATATTGAATTAAATGTATTTTAATAACTTCATTTATGAATTGTAGGCAATTCTATTTTATTTACGTTCTGTTTGTTGAATTTTGAAATTGCCTGTCTTTAAGTTAAAGCTTTTTAAGCCACTTTGTTTTCATTGGCGAGAAATCGATTTTTTTTTTATTTTCCGCTCACTGCACAAAAACCGTTTTTAATTTTATTTTTTTATTGTATTTTAAGTGCGTTAGTTAACGCATTTTAATGAACTCTGTCATGCGATTAAGTGCAGCATTTAATTTGCTTTAATTACACTTGTATTCTCGCGTTGCTTTTAGTCTATTACAAATTTTAAACAAACTCTCAGCCGTTGCAGTCACGAGGAAGCGCACGCTGTCAACTGAACTAAATTCCTTTATAAAGGATATTGCCCAAATGGCTATGCCCCTAAAATATATATGTAAAATCTTCTCATACACGCGCACTCACACACATGCACAGATGGGGTGGCTGTGCGCCCGCCTTTTGAAGTGGACATGCGCAGAGAGTTAGCTAGATTCAAATAAGCGCGCCCAATTGGAAATACCAGTGCATATATTCTAGTTGGAGAGTTGGTGCTGTTGGTGGAATTGCGATAGCTAAATACCCAACTGGAATCCAAACTCTGGAATTTTAATTCTAGTTGCTAGCTGGTCAAGATTAAAGTATGCTGTTTTTAAGATAATAATTAGAGTTTCATTCTATGATCTCAACAGTTTTCTTCATAGCGGTAGCTTCTTGGATAACATTTGCACTATTGCACTTAGTGTTGGATTCTAATTGGAAAGCATTTACTTGGCATTTGCCACGTCTACGCGTGAAGTAGAACGCTGGGCGGGATTCGCAGCCTGCGCTAGTTGACGTCTATGGCTTGATTCTGTATTCTAATACGAAAAGATCTGACTGGATTCCGGCTGTTCCACTGGCAAAATGCTGGCACTGCCATCGCTGGCCAGGATTAACTGCTGCTGCTCGGGCTTCATGATGTGGCTGTAAATGCTCTCTATGGCGGGTATGACAGATGTGCAGGCGGAGCTCGCTGCCACAGCAGCTACGAGATTGGCTGCTTCTCCGACTGCTGCGGCTGCCTTCTTTGGCTTCTTGCCGAAGGCAAAGTTCCCGCTCTGCTTGGTGGCCACCGGCGATAGATTGTCCTTGTTCTTGGTGCTGTAGTTAAAGAGAAAAGTATATATAGAGTGGAAGCCTAGCCAATTCCTTAGCTGCACTCACAAAGCTTTAAGCGCCTCCAGTTTGGGTATGTTTCGATTGTAGGTTTTGCCTCCGCCCGCCGCCTCCTGCGCAGCCAGCTCCTCGGGATGCGACTTCTTCTTGTGCGTGCGATAGTTGGAGCCGTTGGCGAACGTCCGCTCGCAGAAGTCGCAGGAGTAGGGCTTCAGCCCCGAGTGCAGGATGAGATGATTCTTGAGCGCCTTCGCGCGCTTGAACTCCCTGCCGCAGTAGTCACATTTGTGCTGCATCTGGTCCGAGTGGACCAGCCGATGGCGATTGAGCGTGGGCCGGGAGTTCAGCTGCATGCCGCACTCCGGGCAGATGTACTTGTGCGGATCGTGCGTCTCCTTGTGGTGCTTCAGCCGGCTCATGCTCTTGAAGCACTTCTTGCACACGTCGCACTCGAAGGGCGCGTAGTCCGTGTGGCTGAGCAGATGCTCCTTCAGGGCGTGCAGCGAGTGCACCGCGATTCCGCACTGCTCACAGATCACCGGACGTGGGCGCTGCTCCTCCTGGTGGGCGTACTGCGCATGCGATTGGGCTGAGGCGTTCGTTGTGAACTGCTTGCTGCAGATGGGGCAGGGAAAACGCTTCCTCTGGGGCATGGGCAGGTGCTGTTGCTGGTGCCTCTGCAGCTGGTAACGGGAACGGAAGCTCTTCTGGCACTGCTCGCAGTACAGTTTATCGGCTGGCGGATCTGCCGCTGCCACTTCCGCTTCCGCTCCAGCTGCTTCTGCCCCTGCTTGGCTATGATCCTGCCGCATGTGCCGCAGCAGCGTCTGGGGAAGTGCATAAATGCGCGGGCATTCGCTGCATGAAAAGGATTTCCCTCTCCTCGCTTTGACTTCTTTGGGCTGGATGGGGCAGGGGTTGGTGTCCAATGAGTTCAAGCTGTCTGCCTCAGCGCAGAGATTCAACAGATTATCCTCCTCCTTTTTCTGTTCATCAGGTTGCTCCTCATTATCAGCAATTGAAGCTGCGTCTGCTTCTATTTCTCCTTCGTCTTCTACCCCATGCTCCTCTTCTTCCTCCTCCTCCTCATGCTCATCATCTTCTACTGCTTCTGCTGCCGCTGGAACTTCTACCTCATCAATCTTGCTGTCCACTTTCTGTCCGCTTGGCGTGAGCGGGTTTTCCAACTCCAGCGCCACTTCATCTAGCTCATTTAGCTTGGGCTTCTCCTCCACGTAGTGCACCTCAGTTACCGTACGCAACTCCTGATCCGCCTCCTCCTGCAGTCCAAATCGTCGACGCAGCTCCTGTATATTGACAGCTTCCTTTGGCCTGCTCTGCAATATACAGTAGAGCTTCTGCACGCGCGTGATGCGATCCGAGAAGTTCACCAACGAGGTGACCAGCGACAGGCACTCTCTGCAGATCGTTTCTGGCAGCTCCTCTCCACGAGTCATCTACAAATATATTTATTTTATATATATTTATGGAACCTGATTCAGCAAACAGCCACTCACATTGACCCAGAAGTATTTGCCGATAGCCGTGGCCAATGCCATGTCGCTGACGGCATCATTAGCTGCACTCAGCCTTTGTTCACTCTTTAAAAACACATTTATATTTCCTTGGAGGTCCTCCTTGGCGCACAGGCGACACCAAAGCAACCAATCATTCGATTCTGTGACAGACATTTGCACAACTTTATTAATTATAAGACTACATTAGCGGACATTTGATGACTTTATTAACATATTAAAATAATTATAATCAATTTTGTAATTCGCAAATTGCCAGCAAAATATGTTTTTGCGAGTGTTGTTTTTAACAGCTGTTGCAGCAAACTTCGCTTGTCTAATGTGGCGGCTGTCGATAGGAAAATCGACTGGTGAATTGTTGAAAAACTAACAAAACTGCAAAACCGAAACATTTTATTTGTACGCATGATTTTAAAATTAAATTTATGGATATATCTTTTACTTAAGTTTTTTTTTGTGATTATTATTTATTTAAATATTCCGTCTATCACGTTAACATTTCTAGCATAGACGGAAGTGGATGTCGATATACAAAACATAGAGTCGATATACATGCAATAACGCTAAGTCTATTTCATATTTCTTATTTTATATGGGATATAATAATAATCATTACAGACTTATTTTCATTTGTAGCAAAGATTGTTCTCATTTCATTCAGTATATAACCGTTTTATTCAATCAGATCCTTCACATTCTTGAAACATAGAAAGAGGCGGCAGTCGATAACTTTTACAATCGCCTTTCGAAGTTGTTGACAAATAAATAGACAATTAAAAGAATATATATAGAATGAATTACTAATTTACTGATTTTTTTCCTTGAAGGAAAAAAACTTAAACAAGTGGCTTTTATTTGTTTAAATACAAATTTCGCTAACATTCATTGAACAACTATAATTTTTACAGGGCATTTCATAGCCCACATGAAGAAGCATTTCCTATTTGTATCTATTATATGGACTTTGAATTTCATCACGAAAAGCTGTAAACATGTTTGAGGCACGGCTCTCCAGCACTTTAACATTAAAGAAGATTGTAGATGCGCTCAGGGATATACTGAACCAGAGCACATTGGACTGCAGCGATATGGGAATACAGGTGAGTCGCGGCCTTTGAAAAGGTAAACAATTACAGAATTACAGAATTATCTTTCAGTTGCAAGCCATGGACAATTCGCACGTCTCTCTGGTTTGCCTGTGCCTGCGCAGTGATTACTTTGAGAAGTATAAATGCAGTCGGAACGTTTCCCTTGGGCTGGATCTCAAATCTCTGACGAAGGTGCTGAAGTGCGCCAATGGAGATGATGCAGTCACCATCAAGGCTGCGGACAAGGCGGACAAAATCGAGCTCAGTTTCGAGTCGGTGGGCAAGGAGCGCACGGCCGACTACGAGCTGCGCCTGCTCAATCTGGACCAGGAGCACCTGGCCATACCTGAAACAGAGTACAGCTGCGTTATCCACATGCCAGCCGCAGAGTTCGCCCGGATCTGCCGCGACTTGGCCGTGTTTAGCGAGTCGGTGGTCATCGCCTGCTCCAAGAACGGCATCAAGTTCTCTGCTAACGGTGAGATGGGATCTGCGAACATAAAGCTAAGCGAGACTAGCAAAGGAGAGGTTACCTTACAGGTAGATGAGCCCGTAACACTCTCGTTTGCCGGTCGATATTTGAACACGTTCACACGTGCCACGCCCCTGGCGGAAAAAGTGAAGATCGGCATGGCAGCCGATGTTCCGTTACTTGTGGAATACCCTATCGAAGATTATGGCTATATACGCTATTATTTAGCGCCCAAAGTAGACGATCCAGACAGTTGAGTGCAATAAACAAGAAAATGTGCAATAATTTTTTCATTTATACATAAATGTATGTATATATATTATGTTTTTTTGTACTGTATATCAATTTTAATTTTTGTTATGTATAGTTCAAATGTAATTAGTCGTATAGTCTTTTTTGTGCACTGCTGTAATAAATTGGATTTTTTCCTCTTTTAGTTAGCTTTTAATTAATTTAGAATTTTTATTTTACATATTTGAATCACGAAATAAATATTAATTTGTGATATTTTTCAAAGTTGATCATATTTACTCATCTCTATATACTATCGATTCATATTGTGGCGGCTGGCGATTAATAGACCAACAGCTGTTTTGTAAAATTCGTCCCGCAAAGTCGGCACAAAATTTTTAATCAATACGTTAGGTAATAAAGCTAAATTAAATAATGTTAAAATATCTAACGCAGCCGCTGCGGAGAACGACGCAAATTGCAAGGCGTTCGTTCTGCAATAGTAAACTTAGCGGCAGCAGCGCAAAAGTAACAGCGGCGACAACAACAACAACGCCAACTGTGGGCCCTTTGATTGAGGTTCGTGAGGCGCTCGACGGATGGAGCGACAAATTAAAGGAGGCGGGCGTCAGTGACATTGACTTTAATCTAAAATGCATTGTCTCACATGTGCTGCGGCGAAAATTTGTAAGCTATACACTGTGTACCTAAAAAAACACCTTTTGAATGTAAGCCTTTTGCGCACCTAGAATACCGTGCCGGATGACTTTGCCCAGCTGAAGTTCAACTCGGAGCAGCTAGCTGACTTTGAGCGCTTCCTCGAAGCGCGTTGCGCCCGCATGCCGCTGCAGCACATTATCGGCGAATGGGATTTTATGGACATAACACTGAAGACGGCACCCACTGTCTTCATACCACGCCCAGAAACGGAGGAGTTTGTCCGCTTGGTTATTGAGAACTATCGCAAGGTCGAGCATGTGAATATGCTCGAAGTCGGCTGCGGCTCTGGAGCCATGTCCCTGTCCATGCTGCACGCTTTGCCTCAAGTAGACGCGACGGCCATTGAGCGCAGCAAGGCCGCAACAAAGCTGGCCTGGGAGAATGCCAAGCTGCTCGGGCTCCATCAGCGCTTCAAGATCTTCAATCACACCATGGAAACGGACAACTACTTGCCCACTGAGCTGCAGGACAAGCAATACGATCTGATCATCTCCAATCCTCCCTATGTGAAAACCGAGGAGTTTCAGTTTCTGCATCCCGAGGTTGTTGTGTAAGTTGGGATAGGATTCCTGATCTAGTTGATACAGAAATTTATAGGATAAATTGATTGAAAGGGGATAAAGCTCAGAAAGCTGTTGTAAATTCGATTCGTTGAAAAATGTTTCTTTTTATAGAAATTATGATATAATTTTAATTGGAACTATCTGCCTAATTTAAGGATTGATTGATGTTCAGATTTATGGTTTATTGGCTTTTATTATTTCTACAAATCTTGCTATCCGTTGGAAAATTTAAGAAGTTTGAATAGATAAATTACAAGATGATATAATTCTAAGACTTATGCATCTAACTGAATTTGAAAGTAGAAAACACACGTACATCTTAGAGAACTTAGAGATGGAGTAATAATGAGGGAGTTTTTAGCTCTGACTTAACATTAAAAAAAAAAAAAAGTGAATCATGAATTATAACTGAGTAATATATATTTCTATAATAATTTGTAATATTTTAATAGAAATATTTACGTAATATTATTATTTATTATTTACTATTTTGTCAACTCTCGTTTTCACTAGTTAAGTTTTTTAGTTACTATTGCTTATTTTATTTTACTCTGCTTTAATTCCCTTATTTATTTATTTGGAATTTACTCCATTAAGGAATTGTGTTGATATACATTTAATCTCGTCCTCATCTTTCACAGGTACGAGAACCTAAACGCTTTAGATGGCGGCTCGGATGGACTGCGCGTGGCTCGTTTGGTCTTCGAGCTGGCCTGCCGGCATTTGCGACCTGGAGGCCAGCTGTGGCTGGAGCTGGGCAACGATCATCCGCCTCTGGTGAAAACCATCATGAATATGCAGTATCAAGGTCGCCTGAATTTTGTGCAGAGCTACGAGGATCAGTATAAGCGCGAGCGCTTCGTCCAATTGGAGAGAGTCTAGGGCTCCAACACTCGGACACAACATTTTATTAATTGAACCTGATTAATGCAATTAGAATTAGTCGCAAATGCATTTATCTGTGATGTGACCTACATAGACACCCAAAATACCAATTACCTGAGAGGCTATCACATATACACACGTACATATATATACTTATGAATATATATAGAAAATATGTTCATATTACGGATTGCATTAAGTATTTCGCTTCGGGGCTTTGCAAACAAGGACGCATTTCGCAGCTAAGCAACAACAAAAGGCATTTGGATTTAATGCACTTAATTTTATTGGTTTACATTATTCATGCTTAAGCTTCCAAATAAATCCGTAACAGACACTAAGACAACTGCAACTATTTAATCGATCTGCACAGTGGATTGAGAGCGTTTGAGAATCGAATACCGTTAATGATATGTAAAGAAAATCCATGGGATGCTTTTAAAATATGCCATGCATTAAGCAAATATTTGGAGATTTAGATTCCGTATAATTGCACAGTGGGTTAAGCGCAATTTCTAATAGAGCTGTGTGGATTAAATATGAAATTAAAGTTACTATTTTAGTTTATTGCATTATTTAGAATGCCTGCCTTCTAAAAAAACAAACATTACACACATTCAGATAAAGTATATATACACTTATAACAGTACCATTACCATTATAAACAAAATTTGTTTAGAAAACATATGTGATCTTAATTTTTAGATGGTTATGTTATGACTTAAAAATATATACAAAAAAAAACAATCCTTAAATATCTAGAAATTACATATGGAATGTATTACACAATGGAATGTATTGACATATTCTATACTAATAGGAATTATTAATAAGACAAAATTATATATTCAAAAATATACTACCCTCAACAGAAATATAAATAGATCTTAAAAATACTCGATTAGTTTATTAAAATGGTTCAGCTTTAAAAATACCATATATAATATGAGTATGAGCAATAATTACAATTACGATAAATAAAATTCAATCAAATAAATAAATAACAACAAGAGAAAGCAGGTTATCAACTGATATTAACGCAACATTTTTCGTAGTAGCTTGCGCCACTGTGCAGTAGCTCAAAGGCAGCTTTGGCTCTAGTTGGGCTCTACCGTTATCAATCGAAGCAGCTGTTGGTCAACTGAAAAATGTTAGGCACTCATTAACAGGCGTGAATTTGAGAGAGTAAGAAAGAGAGAGACGAGGGAGAGAGAGTGAGTGTGAGAGATGCGACTTGGCAGCGCGTAGCTCAATTATTATTATTATTATTTTTTTTTTTTTTGCAATTTACTATGCCATTTTTGGACGCGCGCACATGTTGAGCGCGCTGCTGCAGTAACAGTGGCAGCAGCAGCAGCAGCAGCAGCCTGGGCACACTTGTCGCTCATTAATAAAAGTTTGCCGAAGCGAGCGCCATTATTTTTGCAGGTATAGAGACATTGACCAGCAGCAAGCAGCAAGCAGCGAACAGCGAGCAGCATCCCACGCGATGCTCATGTCGCTGTCGGCGTCGCTGCTCTGCTCAACTGTAAACATTCCAGTGGAGAGCGCAGCTTTCACTCAAACATTGAGCCACAGCATACACAACAGTTGAGTTGCGCTCTCTCTCTCTTTCTTGGTCGCCTTCTTCATGTATGTCTCTCTCGCTCTCGGCATCTGTCTCTCTTTGCCGTGGATGCTTGGAAGGCTCGACTATTCCTGGCGCTCTGCTCAGGTCCATGGTCGTGCGAAAAGCTGCGTTGAGCGCATTAAGTCGTTAGGGTACAACCAGACAGGACGCAATCTACTCGCAGAGCTGGCCGCGTTTGCTTCGATGTTCGTCAAGCGTCTCTCAACTGCGCCCAACAGTTTGTGCAAAAACTAAACTAAGAAAAGCAAAAGCAAGCTAAAAGTAAATTCAAATTAACTTCAATATCAAATTAAATTTTAATTAAAATTAAATTAGAAATTATTAAAAATAACAACAATATATACATATTTTTGAATATATGTATATACATATTTGAAACGTTTACAACTAGCTCAAGTGTCGCGCTTCGCTTCGACGGCTGCCCTCGCACAACAACAACAAAAACAGCAACAGCAGCAACAACAATAAACTTCTCTATTGCCTTTTTGGCGTCGCCCGCGCGCGCGTTTCAGTGTGTGCGTGTGTGTGTATGCGCCTGCCTGCGTGTGTGTGTCTGTGTCTGTGTCTGTGAGTGCGTGTATGCGTGCAACAAAACTCCAACTCAAGTGTGTTCACAACAACAACAGCCAAAAATAAATGTTTAAATTTAAACAATTCGCAGCAAAAGCAATTAAAATGCATTCTTAACACAATTCAAAGGTAACAAACTACAATTTACTGTAAAACTTAAACTCTCCCCCAACCCCAAACCCCTTTCCTCATCCGCATCCACTCTAAGCTTTGTGCAACAGCTTAAAAGTATGCTATGATTTTTCTCGCTCTCTGAAAATTTAAAATTGTTGCGCCTGGTCGTGCTGGGCTATGTGTGAATTTGCCACTGAAATGTGAAAGGGGACAAGCACTAGGCGAGATTTCACTATCTTATTTAACGCTCATTTAATTTAATCATTAATTTAATTACTGACTAAAGTGTGTTTAATTCAATCCGAGTGCAACTGCGAATTTCAAACATCATTTATTTTCCATTACAGTTATTTGTGCAATGCAATTAAAAAATGTGCAAAATATGGATAAAATATAACTAGAGCACATTTTACTTCAAGTGTTTTTGTTTAAATTTAAAAACTCGTGTATAATTTTTTCACTTGATATTATCACAATTAAAAGAAAAAGGAAAATGCGGCTTCTGTTCAATAATGAAAGTTTGTTGGTTTCTATTTCCGTTCAAATAAGTCTACAAATATTGCATAAAGCCAAAGTAACTAATTTTTATGTCCCTTTCAAACTTCTCTATTATTTATTATTTGTTTTCACATTGCTGCAAATAAAATTCCCTTTAGAGCTTTTGTCGATTGCCATAAAAAAGTGATTTCGGTTGTGGTTTCAACGATTTGTGGTTTTTGTTTGGAAAGAATAAATAAATTTCGTTTACTTGCGAGAGTGCATTAATTACATATCCTTGGTGACGTGCAATCTATATGAATATTTATGTATATATACTCTATATATGTATATTCATATAAACAATTTTAAATTTATGTTAACTAATCCATGTCACGTTTTCACATATTTATGAGATATAAAAAATAAAATACTTATTTATATTTATATTATTATCGTTTAAACTCAGTTGC